CTGGGGATGTGGCTCAAGCGGCGAGTTTGATCCTCAGCACCACATACAAACAAAGATGTTGTGTCCGCTGAAAACTAAAAAAGAAATATTAAAATTCTCTCTCTCTGTCTCTCTGTCTCTCTGTCTCTCTCTCTGTCTCTCTCTGTCTCTCTCTCTGTCTCTCTCTCTCTCTCTCTCTGTCTCTCTCTCTCCCCCGCCCCCCCTCACTCGCTCTCTTTAAAAAATAAAAGAAAAGGATATTGTTGGTTATCTGTGGGCTTTACAAAATGTGTAGTCCATGAGGGGCAGAGATAAATTGAAAACAAAATTGTTGCCTTTCAGAAATTTTTTAGGAAGTCATAGCAGAGGGAAAGATTAAGATGTGTTCAAAATAAAATAGTTTTTTTATTTTTTCACACTTACCTGCAATTCTCTCAGATAATTCAGTCTCAGCTTTTAAAAAAATATATTAAGAGCAATTCTGTAGATTTGAAAAGCAAATTAAAATCTGTTGTCCAATCTATCAAAATAAATCATTCATATAACTGAAGAATGAGTGAAGTCGTGAAAGGCATCTATTGTACTTTGACCTTTCTCATTAATGTCAATGTTAATATTGACAAATACTCATATTGGAATTACACTGCTTTTTCATCTGCAAACATAGGTTCTACAAAAATAAATGAAAGCATTCTGTAAGAATCAAGTTACATGAAAAATATTATAGTTTGTTATTTATAAACTGTATTATGTGTATCCTCTATATCAATATAATTTATAATTAACTTATATATGTTATGTGTATATTTATTTCCAGAAAACCACCCTTTAAACATTTGCCAGCACACTATATATATGCTCATTATTTAGAAATGGCAGAAATTATATGATGTAGATCTTGTTCCTCTCTAACTCCTACTCCCTTTTTAACCCCACCTACATTTACACATATCCACAGGAAGAGGCATACAACCTCTGCTACTATCCACTATCAGAACATTCACAACACAATTTTCTTACCTCATGATATGTTTTGTAAAAGTATAGACTAATAACACCAAGAAAAATTTAATAAGACTTTTTTTAATTTTTTTCTTTTTTTATTGGTTGTTCACAACATTACAAAGCTCTTGACATATCATATTTCATACATTAGATTGAAGTGGATTATGTTCTCCCAATTTTACCCCAAATGCAGATTGCAGAATCACGTCGGTTACACATCCACAATTTTACATAATGCCCTATTAGTAATTGTTGTATTCTGTGAATCTCTCCTCTTGAACATCAGTACTAGAGTTTATGTTTATAAGATAAATGAAAAGCAAAGTCATGGCAGCTAAAAAACTTAAGCCTGCTGAAATTATGGATATTCTAGGCAAACTTCTCATGATATAGATACTCAGAGAGCTCTCTGAGAAAGGAAATTGGGGAAATGTTGAGGCAGTGGAGAGCCAATTCACTCCATGTAGGCCACTTTCCATCACATCTAACTTTCTTCATTACTGAGGTAACAACTCACAAAATTCTTTTTACTGTGATAATCTTCAAACTACTTATATACAAATGTAAGTTGCCCTTCTCTAATAATAGGGCATACAGTAACAGAATGAATTTGAAAATCTCTTCAGGCAAAACAATACAGTAGCTAACAGATGGCAATGGTAGATAGGAGTTGGCACATAGGCCAGATTTAAAAACGCTTGGAGAGATTCTGTTTCAGGTTATTTGCCCAATCAATACAGAGATCCTTCTCATACCTTTTGGAAGAGGAGATGCCCACCCTTTGGCAAACATTGAATATCACTACCTGACACAAGAGCTTATTAATTTGGTATTCTTCTCAGAGTGTTGCATATGATGGTTGGATGGTTTTCCTGGTTTTGGCCATTGACAAAAGGCTTCAGGATATTTATTCAGCATTTGTAGAAACTAGACTGCTGAAATATCTGTCTATTGTGTTTATTTAAGAAGAACACAGATGATGGGAGAATAAAAACATTCCTCTCAGGAGAAATTTCTACAATAGGCAGTATCTTGTGTATAGTGCCAAAGAAAAAAGAAATACTGTCATTATTGATGGACCACCTCAAGGACAACCCTTTTTGCACATTGCTTTATAATTGTCTTTCTTTATTAAAATTAAACCATACCCAACCACTGATACATTAAGAATCACTAAAAGATTTTATTTGATATAAACTTTCAACATAGCCCAGAGGAATGACAACCAAAATATATGTGTATGTGTATGTGTGTGTGTGGGTATACACACACACACATACACACACACACACACACACACACTGGTAGTTTCAGCAACTGGGATCCCTTACAACAATGTTTATCAAAATATCTGGATTGAGCTGGACATGGTTGTACACACTTGTAATCCCAGTGGCTGGGGAGGATGAGGCAAGGGGATCACAAGTTCAAAGCCAGCTTCAGTAATTTAGCAAAAACCTCAGCAACTTAGTGAGACCTTGTCTCAAAATAAAACATAAAAATGGCTGGGGATGTGACTCAGTGGTTGAGTGACCCTGGATTCAATCTGTGGTACCAAAAAAAAAAATCTCTGGATTGTCTGCCATCTGGTTTGATATTTCTTAATGCCTTCAATTTCAAAAGAATAAAAGGTAGCAAGGCAGAGGGGAAAAATCCTGTCTTCAGATTTAGAGAACTAGGTGCCTGATAGGGTGAATCATACAAACTCTAGAATCCAAAGAAACTTTACAGAATGTTGTTAAGAGAAGGATATTGCTCCATAGACATCCGTGAAAGAAGCACATAAGATTGACAGGGTAAAATTATTGTGTATTTATCTCAGTATCCACATTGGATTATGATTCATATTTGACTTCTACTTAAATAACTAAGCCTCAGAAGAAAAACAACCTATGCAACGTTTCACTGAGACTTTTGAGTTCAGCAAGCACTTTTGCATACATTGTCCTGTTTGAACCTCTCAAGTTTTATTACCATCCCCATTACATATATGAGAAATCAGTTTACATAAAGTTAGGTAATCTGCCTAGAGCCAGTTTCTTTGTTCACATTAGATCAAAAACTAAGATTTAAGTTTCCTGACTCTTAGTCTAGTGCACTTTCCAGTATATAAGATAATCTTGTTTTTACACAACCTTATATGAAAGCATATTTCACATAACCTTATTTCAAATTTGTGTCAAACATATAGGACAGACTCTTGACAGGGAAAGATCTGACAACTTTGATAAGATCAAAAGGTCCAGGACACATCATTTTGCTGAGTGATAAATTTTCAGTATAATAAAACTATCATTTGGCAACAAATCCCTTATTACAAGTAAGCTCAGTCTATCACACAGTAACCATATGACTATGAAGTTTTGTTAATTTCCAATTTATCTTAATGTAGACCTTAACTCGAATAAAACCATTTCCTTGTGAAAATGGTTCTCTAAAAAAGTCATCTGCTAGTTTGATGATTAAAGAGATCTGGTTTCAGAAAGCACTCACTTTTAGAACATGGAAGCTTTGAATTTATTTAAATGTAAAATGGAGAATTTGTCCATAGTTTAGTTTAGAATAATGGTGCTGAAAAATTACTATTAGCTCCATGATGAAAAATATTTTACATTGCTTCATCTAGTATTTTAACTAAGGAAAAAGAGTACATTTTATGGAGTGATATACTGTAATATGATTTATGGATTTGGGAATTTCTTAATCAAAAATATCAAGATTGTGCTCTTCTACTACTTTTCCCATACTGTCTTAATATTGTATTACAATTGCTTATTTGATGAGAAACTTAAAATTAAAATGAAGTATTTTTCTACAATCATGATTCATAATAAAAAGTACTGAAATACCGCCTATAATTATTTCAACAAAGTGGGTGATGAAAAGAATAATTATAATAAGGTATATGCATATGTTCTTTTATAGATACATTTGTAATTCCAAAAATTTCCTTTGGTTTGTGTATTACTCAGGGTTCTCCAGAGAGGAAGAAATTATAATATCATCATTAGAGAGATAGATAAGTAGATAGAATAGGTAGATAAATGATAGAGGATTTATTAGATAAATTACATCATGTAACTATGGAAGCTAAAGAGTCCTATAATAGGCTATTGCAGGCTTGAGAGCCAGGAAGTACTATGCTTCAGCCTCATAATAAGGGGAGGATACAACTTCAGTTTCCAAAGCTGAAGGCCCAGGAACTATAGGAAGCTGATGGTGCTAGTACTTAAGTTCAATTCCAGAGAACTTGGACTTCTGATGCTGAAAGACAGGAGAAGACAGTTGCTCCAATTCCAATAGAGAGAGAAAGAGAGGGAATTTTCCTTTCCTCTGACTTTTAATTCTACCCAGGACCCCAACAGAGTAGATGGTGCCTACTCAGTTCACCACCTCCAATGCTAATCTTTTCTGGATATGTCTCACAGACATATCCAGAAATGATGTTTTACCAGCAATCTATGTATTCCTTATTCCATTCAAGTTGATATCAAAACTTAACAATCACTGTTTTTTATATTGGTGTTTCTTTTAAAAGATAATGATCAGAGTAAAAAAAAATTTCTCAGTGCAATCTTAATAATAGTGGGGATAGTCTCTTCTGATATGTCTTCTTATTAGTTAAGGATTAACTCATACTTTTGATTAATGTTACCTTCAAAGGCAAGTCCAACTAAGCAGTACTTAATTCTCTCTCAAAAAAATAAGGGATTATTTCCATTTGATTCTTTCATGTTAGTTCCTGGGAAGGAAATCATAAAAATAGTTAAAAATGAGTACTATTCTTTATTTTTGTTTATATAATAGCTTGAATAGTGATAGGAGGATAATAGCTTAAATTTCCCAGAAGTCCTCATAATATTTCAATATTTTTTTGCCTGTACAATGGTAAGATGATTAGAAGAACAGTTGAAAAATATGTCATCTCTGAGTTTTCCTTCAGATATTAAAGGGCTCATCCTTGGCCTCTAATGATAACCAGTAGTCAATTTTCTCATTTTATTCCTCATTCTCAGGTAAGCCTCTGAATATCCCTTGCAAAGCATTCTTTGGATTCAGTGGAGAATCTGGGCCAATGATCTACTGGATGAAAGGGGAGAAGTTTATTGAAGAACTGGCAGGCCACATTAGAGAAGGAGAAATAAGGTACAGAACCTTAATTGTTTGTTTTTCTTTGCTGTCTTTGCAGTTAAAAAATAAAATATCCTAAAAAGGATTCTGCCTAGGATTTTAGTTGCAAATTCAAATCACTCCATTCTCTAAAGCGGATCTGGTAGACAAACCAAGGGTAACTACCTAAAGAAATGAAAATTTGTAAGCTGCTAATAAACGTGGTTTTTTTTCAGGTTCTAAGAATATTTCATAAGAATATAATGACCCTCTCAAAGTATCTAAGCAAATTCCTTTGAGTTTCCAAAGCTAAGGCTACTGTTAATCCATCCAATCATAGCAAAGGTCCAAACTGTGCAGGTGACTTCTCAGTCCACTGGGCAAAAGTTCATTTACTCCCTTGGGAACAATCTTCATATGTCACAAGTGAAAAGCTGTGATGGCAGTAGCACACTGATAATCTGCCAAAATCAGTGTTGACTCTTTTTGAATAGAGTTTATTTTTCCCAGCATCCACTGCCCATCCTGAAAGTTACTGATCCTTCAGGTTAGCACCTCTCTAGACCTTGCTCACTCTCCTGTTACCCAGTTATCTTCCTTGTGTAAAGGTATGGATTCAATGCAATTGTTTTTTTTTTTATTCTAATTAGTATCTTCTTATTTTTTTCAAAACAGAGATATGACACTTTTCTTAACTCATTCAATCTGTGATGTTTCCTATTGATTTCACTAATAACGATTTGTAGAGTAGGTTCCCCTTTCTGATAGGGATTGGGCTACCTCCTCTCAACCCCCATCAATAATCATGTGCTAGAAATTAATCTAGTATTTCAGTACATGTTAATAAGGACTCCTTAAGATTTCTTACTGAATACATAGCAGTGTAAATGAAACAAGTATACTTTATAATATTTACTACAATTAAATATAATTTATAATTACTCCCATGATAATCATTTACCACACAATTTGATGGTCCATGAATTCCAAGAGCCTAAACCAAATATTGACTATAGGAGATATTTCTAGAAAAAAAATACATGAAAAAATGTTCAGTGTCATTAGTCAACATGGAAATGCAAATAAATAACTTATCGTATCACTTCATATTTACTAGTATGGCTTTAATTTAAAAAATCACTTTATAGCAAATATTGGTGAGGATGCAAAGAAATTGGATATCAGTTAAAATGCAAAACAGTGCAACCACTTTGGAAAAAAGTCTCATAAGTCCTCAAATAGATAAGCATATAATTGCTATTTGATGCAGCAATATATCTCCTAGATATGTAACCAAGAATAATCAAAACATACATCCTCACAAAAATGTATCCATGAATGTTAATAGTTGCTTGATTCATAATACACAAAAGGTGGAAGCAATGTAAATGTCTATCACCTAATGAATGGATAAATAAAATGTAGTGTATTCATACCAAGAATTATTATTTGCCATGAAAAAAATTGAGGGACTAATATTCCCTAGAATATGGATAACATTGAAAATATTTTTCTCAATAAAATATGCCAGTGAAAAATAAACATATTAACATGATTCATGTAAAATGTTCAGAATAGGCAAATCCATGACAGAAAGTAGATCACTGGTTATTTAGGGCTGGTGAGGAGGGATAGAGTGATAGGAGGATAATAGCTAAATTGTATGGGTACATTTATATGTATGTGTCATAAAATACAACTTAATGTAAAATACATCATTATAAAGTATACAATTCATTGGAATTCAGTACATTCAAAATATTGTGCAACCACTACCACTATATAGTTCCAGAACATTTTTAACCACCCCTGCCCCCCTCGCAAAAAAAAAAAAAAAAAAAAAAAAAAACCTACTTTGCAGTAAGGGACTGAATAACTTACATCCTTCCTTCCTTCCTTCCTTCCTTCCTTCCTTCCTTCCTTTCTTTTTTTTTTGAGGTGATGAAAATGTTATAAAATTGATCATGTTATGTTTGCACATATCTGTGATTATTCTCAAAATTAATTGGGTTGAATACTTTCAATAGGTAAATTGTATGAACTTTATCTTAATAAATCTGCTTTTTAAAAAAATTCTAATTCTCTAGTATAGAATAGATTTTCAAAAAATTGATATATTACAAATATTTCTTTAGGATAATTCCAATATGAACATTGTTTCCTAATTAGTATGACTTTATTGGGCAATTTCAAGTTAAAATGTATTTGAAATTAATGCTACTGAATTTCTATTAAATAATTTTAGAAGGTACATGCTTAGGATTATTATAAATATATCTACCTATAAATGACCTTAAAGGCCATGCTTCACTTTTTTCTGAGAAAGAAACTGGTCCCCCAAAGGGTACACGGTTAGTTAGTAGCAGAATTTCTACTACCAAAACTCAGAGCTATGTTTTGCCATCAAGGGTAGTAATTATATGAACCTAAAGTAATTATTTCTCTTTTCTTGCATATGACTAAGTGGGCTTTTAAAAAACAAAAAACAGTTTTATTGGGCTTAATTGACATAAATAAACAACACAAATTTAAAGTGTACAATCTATACAGAGTAATTGATACATGTGTACACTTGTGAATTCATTATCATTGTGAAGATATCATACCCACATTTCCTGGTGCCACTTTGAAATTCTTCCCACAAGGCTTCCTGTCATGATAAATGGTCTGAATTTTCTAGTGTTCTATCTTTTTTAAACAGAATCATATAGAAGATATCTTGTTTTTGTATAGATAATTTAACCCAATTTGTTTAAGATTTATTCACCCTACTATATGTATCAATAGTTCATTCCTTTTTTTATTGATGAGTATTGTTATGTGGATATGTAACAGTTTAGTAATCCATTCACCTGTTGATGGACATTTGTGTTATGTCCAGTTTGTTTCTATTTCAAATAAAGTTGCTATTAACATTCATATACATATCTTTCTATGCATATCTATTTCAATTTTCTTGTCCAAATATAAAGACATAAAAGGGATAAATTATATAGTGTTTAACTTTTTAATTCATTTTAGCTATCTTCCAAAAATAAACTTTATTTTTTAGTGCAAACTATAACAAATGTGTTTTTCAATTATTTTGATCCACAACATTCATTGTTTTGGCTTTTAGTGAGTTATTCTTGCTATTAGTCCATAAGTAATACTTGTACATATTTATGAAGTACAGTATGATAATTTAATGCATCTACACATTGTGCAGTGATCAAATGAGGTAATTAACATTTCTATTTCCTCAAACATTTATCATTTTCATGTTTTGGGAACCTTCAAACTCTTTGAGAAGAAACCTTGATTTTTATAGTAATTTCTAACTTACAAAAAATTTGTGAAGATATTATGGAGTGTTCATATATACCTAATATTTAATTTCTCCAATTGTTAACATCCTAAATTGCTATGCTACATTTGTTATAACTAATTAACTAAAATTGATACATTATTGTGAATTAAAATTGTTTTTTACAATTCCAATTTCCTTAGTTTGTCTCCTTCCTTTTTCTCCTCAGTATTATTTTTTTAAGAACATACCTAACTGTATTCTAAAATGGTTATACAATTTTATAAAAGATGAAGTGAGACACTGCTTGTGTTGCTCTCTAGCAACAAATGATTAGAATTGGTTGGAGACAGGGCTGGAGTTGTGTCTTGGTGGTACAGCACTTGCCTAGCATGCAGGAGGCACTGTGTTCAATCCCTGACACCACATAAAAATAAACAAATAAAATAAGGGTATTATGTCCATCTACAACTAAAAAAAAATTAAAAAGAATTGGTTGGTGTCAAAACATATAAACATGAAGTAATTAAGTCGAGAAGAAGCCAATGTACCAGGTGCCAAATGAGTCAACAGGCTAGTAAGTGCTATAGAAGTCAACCTTTCAGGACTTGCAAAATGCTATTATTTATTTGATTTTTGTTACATCCCCTCTTCCACCTTTCCCAACACCCACCTGTGGTTTAAAAAAGGTCCATATTATATTTACAGTGGAGGAGAGTTATAGAAAATTTATTTTGAAAATTTCACACAACCAAATTACTAACTACAGACACTTTAGGAGAAATAAAGAGGCAGAAATTTCTGGCCAACAAAAACATATAGTTGGCCATTTTGTAATATTAATTGTGAGATCTGTGATTTATTTGGGAGCTTGAGTGGGTTCCAGCATTCCTTCAGGCTATGGCCATTTATGCTAACCTAGAAGTTAACTACTAGACCCTGTCTTCTAGCCTTCAAAGCTAATGTCCTTGTAACAAAGCATACAAGATTTTTATACAGCCTGACAGATTGGAACAAATCAGGCAGTTTATAATTAAAAAAAAACTGCTAATCATCCTATTACTAGAACTAAGAGAAGACATATATACTTTCACAGACAATTCTTACACATTGTCTCCAAAGGAAAGAACTCTGAAGTTAAAACACTGTGGATTTTAATTGGGAGATTCCTCTTGAAGACATTTCTGTAAACAAAATTTAATTTTGAAAGCATGGCTCTCCTTCAGAATTTTCTCTGTCACTCCAGGTTATTATAAAAAATTACTGTAGACTGGATAATTTATAAATAGTAAAATTTGTTGCTCACATTTCTGGAGATTAGAAAGTCCAGGATCAAAGATACAGAAGATTTATTGTCTTGTGGGACCCTGTTCCTCATAGATGGTGACTACTTTGTGTCCTCATAAGCATAAAGAACAAAGGAGTTCACTTCAGCCTATTTTATTATAAGAGCACTATCACATTTATGAAGTTGGGCCCTTCATGGCTTAACCAATATTCAGAGGCCTCACCTCCTAATCCTGTCATATTGAGTATTAGGTTCTAACATATGAATGGAGGCACTAACGTTCAAACTCTAGAAGGGATGTTTTATTCAATTATTATTTTAATTGAATTATAGCTCTTATGTTATGCACACATGTCAAAAGTCTATTGCTTTAAAAAGTGGGTAGTGATTACTAGGCATTGAGAAGTGCATGTGGGGGGGATGGTGGTTGGATTTGATCAGTGCACAATGTCCACATGTATA